GATGGGATACAAATTGAAATGTTTCAACAAACTGATGTGACGCTGGAGGCACTCACTCATCTATGGCAAGAAATTTGGAAGACAGCTACCTGGCCAGCTTATTGGAAGAGATCCATATTTGTGCCCATTCCAAAGAGAGGTGACCCAATGAAATGTGGAAATCATGGGACAATATTGTTAATATCACATTCAAGTAAAATTTTGCCAAAGATAATTCAAAAACGGCTGCAAACATACATTAACAGAGAATTGCCAGAGTTTCAAGCTGGCTTCGGACGAGGACATGGAACCAGGGATATACTTGCTGACATCAGATGGATCTTGGAAAGAAGAGAATACCAGAAAGATGTTTACCTGTGCTTCACTGACTACGCAAAGGCTTTCGATTGTGTGGATTGTAACAAGCTGTGGGCAACATTGTGGAGAATAAGTATTCTGGAACACTTAATTGTATTCATGAGGAATCTGTATATAGAACAAGAGGCAGTTGTTCAAACAGAACAAGGGAACACTGAATAGTTTAAAATTAGGAAAAATGTGTGCCAGGGTTGTATTCTTTCACCATATATATACTCCATCTGTGTATGCTGAGCACATATTCCAAGAAGCTGGATTATATGAAGAAGAACGTGGCCCCAGGATTGGAGGAAGACTCATTAACAACCTGCAATGTGCAGGTGGTACAACCCTGCTTGCTAAAAGTGAAGAGGACTTAAAGTACGTAACTGAATAAGATCAAATTTCACAGCCTTCTGTATGGGTTGCACCTGAATGTAAAGAAAACAAAAATCCTCACCACTGGACCAATAAATAACAGCAAGATAAATGAAGATAAAACTTAAGTTGTCTAAGAATTCATTTTGCTTGGCTGAATCATCAACACTCATAGAAGCAGCAATCAAGAAATCGATGCATTGCTTTTAAGAGTAGAAGAGCAAATACGTCAGTTTGAGGACTAAGGTGTGCCTGACCCAAGCCTTGATATTGTTAGTAACCTCATATGCATACGGAAGTTGAACAGTGAATAAGGAAGACTGTAGAAAAATTGATGCATTTAAGTTATGGTATTGGAGGAGTATATTGAAAGTACCATGGACTGCCAAAAGAATAAACAAATCGAAGTTGGAGGAAGTACAGCCAGAATGCTTCCTGGTATCCAGGATGGCAAGACTTAGTCTCTCATACCTTGGATATAGTATCAGGAGGGACCAGCCCCTGGAGGACATCATTCTTGGTAAAGTGGAGGGTTGGAGAAAGAGGAAAACCCCCAACAAGATGGATTGGCAGAGTGGCAGCAGCAGTGGGCTCAAGTGTAGCAAGAATTGTGAGGTTGGTGCAGGACTGGGTAGTGTTTCATTCTGTTGTGCATAGGATCGCTATGAGTTGGTACTGACTCTATGGTACCTTTTCAACAACAAGATTTTGTGTACTGTTTCAAAATTTGCATTTATTGTATCTGTTCTTGTAGTGTTTTTGTGAATTCTTCTCAAGTTTTTATTGTGTTCTTGCTTTCCTCAATCTTTCTATCAGTCCTTTGAAAGTGCCTAAATAACATTTTTTAAAATTCTTTTTTAGTTAGTTCCATTACATTTTCATCCTCAGAAATGTTTTCTGACTTTGCGTCTTGGTCATTTGTGCCATTCTCTCATGTTTCCTTGTATGAGCTAAAATTGTCTGTTGTGTCCGGGGCATTGTAGGGTTGTTGTATTTAATTTATGATTGTGTGTTGATGTGTTCTTAGGTTCTCACCAACTGTGGATATAGTTAGAGAATAGAAGTGTGTAGTCCATTTTTGTTCACTGTTTGTGCATCTCAGCTTAGGATGGATTTGACTAGTGTTGGCTGCTATTGTTGATGAGGTGGTATAGGAATTGATACTGGCTCTTGTGCGGTGAGTGGGGCTGCAGAGGATAAAGTTATGTCTCCATTTGGGTGGGAAAGAGGAACCCCCCTCCCCCCACACACACACATGAGAAAGCAAAACAGAATAAACAAACGAGTAACCAACAATGAAAAGAAAAAATAAAACAGGCAGCAAACCAGAAAACAAGAATATTATAACTGTTAAAAACAAAAGAGGGATAGAGAAATGGAGCTATAGAAGAGGAAATAACAGGAAGAAATTTTAAAAAAACAACTCAGAAAAATCAGTGAGATGGAAGATGAAAAGGAGAGTAGTGAAGACAAAAGAAAAAAAAAGAAGAGGAAAATAAGAGCTTGAAGAAAAGGAAAAATGAAAGTGGAAAATTTCTATAAATTTTCTATAAAATTCAAGGGAATGGAAAGAGGAGAAAGAAACAAAAAACAATGAAACAACAAAAGGAAAATAACTCATAAACAAAAACAAAAAAATAATGCAGCTGTTGGACTGATGAGGAGCAAACCCTGGGTGGTCCTGTCAGCCTAGTAGCTCATGAGGTGGGTGTGGGATGGATGTGGCCTAGGAGTTCCTGGTCCTACATTGAGTTTCCATGCTCAGTGTTATCTATGTTCAGGGCACTTAATCCAGAAATAGTTTGTGAAGGCCCTTGATGGAACTGGTTTCATTGTCTATTAGGATATTAGGACCACAGGGCAGATGAGAGCAGGGTGATTGGTTAAATGCTGGTTTGGTGGCTCTGTAGGTCCCCTGCCTCTAGAGCTGAACCTGCCGGAATCCAAGCACCAAAGCAGCACATCAAAGTAGTGCAGCCGTTCCCCCACCTCACTGGCTTGGCTCCCAGCTATGTGGTTCTAAATTCTCAAGTGCAGGGTCTGTGCTGAGAGTGAATGAACATTGGAGCTGGCCATACCTCTGGTCATCAGGGGATCGTGAGGAAAAAGAAGGAATCTACTCTGTTAAGCCACCTTCTGTTGCTGAAGCTGCTCACAAAAGTTCAAGATGGTTGGGCTGCGTCTGGCCGGCTGTTCACCAGTCAGTCAGTATCCCTCTCTTGCCAACTCTGTTTAGCTCCTCCTTCCACCAAGCACTCAGTCCACTTTTCTAACCTTTCCTCTGAAGTTCAGGTTCCAGAATTATTATCTGTGTCTGTTTCATTTGGTCTCTGTCTTGGTTGTAGAGAGTCCTTGTAGTGCCAGCTGCCATGTTAATCTCGTATAGTTGATTGTTTAAGGAGTGCATAGCTCCCTGATACTGTTGTTTATCTTATAGGCCCTGTTGATTGTTTAGCTGAAAGTTGACCTACATAGGTTTTTCTGTCATTTTAAACGAAAGGATCAGTCAGTTCCTATTCGTTCAAACTGTTACAGATGTCTGAAAAGGGAGAGGGTGGTGTTCATCAGACTTCCATTGACTACACTGGTGGTGGTGGTTATGTGCCGTGGTGTCGGTTTCGACTCATAGCTACCCTGTACAGGGTTTCCGAGGCTTTAAATCTTTACGGGAGCAGAAAGCCTCCTCTTTCTCCCGTGGAGCAGCTGGTAGTTTCAAACTGCTGACCTTGCGGTTCGCAGCCCAGTTCCTAACCACTACACTACCAGAGGGGAAGGAGAATCAAATTCATCAGCCCAAGACCTTTTCCTATGATACCAAGGTCAGTAATGCCTGCACTCTCTAGTCTTCTACCAATTCTGACATCAGTCATCCCTCCCACTCTGTTTCTCAGTTGGGTTTGATAACTCATTGTAATGACTACCCAGATCTCAGACAAAACTCACGATTACGGGGTTTATTAGTGAAGCTAACAGGTTAAAATTTCGGATCAGAAATGTTCAGGATATAATTCTTTGCGCAGGACAGCTTTTTCTCAACCATGCTTGTCAGGTAAGCATCTTTCTGGCCCTTGACCCTTTGTTCTGGCCTTTGCCCTGCTCAGGCAATATTATAAAGCTCTTGTAGAGTCGCTGGTAAATGCCCAAAGGCTCTGCTGTAAGCCTCAGCCTGAAGGTGTTTAGCTCTAACTTTCCCAATTAAGTGCCTGGAGGCACCCATTTCACAAGGGACTCACCTGCCCGAAGGTACTCTGCTTGCTCTGTGGGATCCCAGCCATCACTTTGTCTTGTGCTCTGACTCTTAGTTCTGTTGCTGCCACTCGTCCACTGCTTCATGTCTCCTGGATCAAGGAGGTTCAGTCGCAGGAACCAAAAGACACTCCACTTCTGGCTCTTTTTTCTTGATGGTAGTGAGAGCCCTGGTCCTGCTTCTGACATGGCTCATTTTATACCTTCACCATAATGCCAAGTATTTACAAGCACAGTTAACCCTTTTAACCACTCACAACTGAGTCATACAATCCTATCAGTGTCTTCTCCCACCTTTTACCCAGACCTATCAGGAAAAAGTCATTTGATGGGAGTTACAAAATTACGGTTAAGAAGAGCCATAAGAGCACTGCAAGATAAGAGACGTATTTGCTTAAATTACTAAATACCTTAGCCTTCGATCTTTAAGATGCAAAATGATTCCTTAAGGGGTAAACAATTTTTAGACAAGGAGACTGTATGGATTAAAGTTGGGCAGAAAAACCAAAGCCCACTACACATAACAGGCAAAGGAATTTAAGAAGTTGAAAAACACAAGTATGGGGGGAGACTTAGACAGCAAATGAAAACACAGATCGCTCGGGTGGTAATTGGAAGATGCATTTACCTTGTTTAGGGCAAGGGAAACAGGGGGAGAAAATTGGGGTTTCCGGAACCTAGAAACATAGAGGAGAGGTCTTGTTAGATTGGGGCTTTAATCTTAGAGGGCACTCTCTACTCCTGTGTTGGAAGGAGCAAGCTTTCTCCCCATCTTCGTGCTGTCCTCTAGTTCCCCCTACTGGCCGTAACTAACAGCTAGACAGGGATATGTCAGTTACAGAGCAAGGATGAGTGTGTGGAGGCAAGAGACCATGGCTTCATTAAGTGATCCTGGCGTTTCATCAAAGCCTACCTGACTAACTAGCCACTGTTGTTCCTGGAGGGGTCAGGAAGGCAGCTTACGCTGTTCTGTAAACTGCTGCTAGAACTTACAAAGCACTTAATGGATGAGGTGACAGCTATTTCTCCCTTTCTCTTAGAATATAAAATACTACCAGGGTATCCGGGCTGCTGTGAGCAGGGTGAAGGAGAGAGGACAGAAGGCCGTAGTTCTTGACATTGGCACTGGTACAGGACTCCTGTCGATGATGGCGGTCACAGCAGGTGCTGACTTTTGCTATGCCATTGAGGTGAGCTACACTTTCTGGGTGTATGTTCTGTGCCTAGTGCAGGAAACCCAGTATGCCCCTTACATTATCCCTTCCATTTGCACGCTGACATCCACGCACTGAGTTTGCATCTGCACCAAGTCCAGGGGTGTTCTGTTGCCAAGTTCGGTGCTGAATTGGACACCGTTCCTCTTTTCTTCTCTGAAGATAGTGGTTCTCGCAAGTCCCAGACATCCAGACCACAGGTCGTGGCTTGTGAAGCAGGTTCCTTCCTGGTTCCCACTGCCCTTGATGCTCCTCTGGAGACTATCCAGATGATGTCTGGTTTATTTAGATCAAATCAGCACCAAAGAAATAGTTTCTCTTTAGCCTCAACAATAACAAAATACACTTTGCATATTTAGGAGGAGGACTCTTTTATTTCAAATGTTAGTACCTGAATCTAGGAATGTCCTGTTAGTTTTTGGTGTTAGGATGCTACTCCCTTTCTTGCCCATTTTTAGTGGAGTGTTTGCTCTAATTTCTAGGTGTTCAAGCCTATGGCTGAAGCTGCTGTGAAGATAGTGGAGAAAAATGGCTTCAGTGATAAGATTAAGATTATCAACAAGCATTCCACTGAGGTGACTGTAGGGCCAGGTGAGATCAGCAGATCCTGCATTGAAAGCTTTGCTTGCTCTTGCATGAGAGAGGAAACAAGTTTCAGGTGGAACAATGGTACACAGGTAATTTCAGAAAAATGGGGCTTCGGCTTTGTGGTACCTCGAAACATACATACTTTGGTGTCTCTTGATGTTTATTTCTCTCCATTCAGATGTAACCGCTATTTGCTGCTGTAAGCAAGTTGGTATTCTTGGCATGGCTCAACGCTTGACTTTAGTCAGACAAGTGAAACTAGTTCTGTAGCAGATAGTAGTTTACTTAGTTGTGGCTTCCTGCCGTAGCATATTGCTGAGATTACAGTCTCTTGAGGTTTCAAGAATATATATTTTTAACATTTTATTATAAATAGATTCAAGGTTTGTAGAGCAGATCATCAGTTTTACATTCAATAAATCATATACATTATTTCATTTCAATGATTGCAATCCCCTCCAGGTAACTTCAGTTAGTCCACTTCCTCGCTGTGATTCTTGTTTCCATTCTGCCTTTTCCAGCCTTTCTCAATTTTGTCCTTAGGTAAATGCTGCCCTTTTGATCTTGAATGGTTGGCCATTCCATGGTATACATACATCACTAATGTTGTTGTGCACCTGTATACTTGCAGTTCCAGACATAAAGGGTGACCAAGAACCAAAATATATTATTTATTATTATAGTCTAGGCATTTGAATCAGGCTCCTAACGTCTCACTTGCTCCTGTTGATACCTGGAGAATAAAGTTAAAAGATTTGTGTAAAAAATATTCTGTAGTGAAGTTGTGATTATTACTACTAAAACTAAATACAAAATTATTCTCATTTTTAAAAAACTGTTTATTATGAATTGAGTGAAGGTTTACAGATTAGATCAACAGTTCTACATTCAGTGAATCATACACCTTGTTTCATCTTGGTGACTGCAGTCCACTTGTGCAACAGCAATAGACCTACTTCTTCCCTGTGGGTCCCATGTCCATTCCACCCATCGTCCCATCCCTTCTCAACTTTGTCCTTAGGTAAATGTTGCCATTTTGATTTTGAGTGATTGACTATTCCATGCTGAGCAGACCTTACTAGTGTTGTTCTCAGTATATACCTCTTCTGGTTGGTTGAAAACTGGGCCACAAGGGTGAGTTCCTTTCCGGACCTGAAGGGTTGTCAAAGGTCATAGTCTCAGGTTCCTCCAGTCTCTTTCTGACCAGTAAGCCTGGTCTTTTTTTTTTTTTTTTTTTTTTTTAATATAGTTTTGAGTTTTGTTCCACATTTTCTCCTGCTCTATTTTAATACAGTTTTGAGTTTTGTTCCACATTTTCTCCTACTCTATCTGGGACCTTCTAATGTAATCCCTTTCAGAGTTGTTGGTAGTGGTAGTAGGGCACCATCAAGTTCTTCTGGTCTCAGAGTCATGGAGACTGATATTCACAAGTACCATTAGTCCATTGGACTAACTGATTCCAAATCTCTTCAATTCTCATCATTCTTCTTTCTTCTACACCATTTGTTAAACAGACTATCTCTTCCCTACTTAATATGTTTAATATGTTTTGTCTCAATTCTGTTCCATTCTGTATCTTTCATTGTGTCAGTACCAGGCTGTTATGACTTCTGTGGTTGTAGGGTAGATTTTGAGTTCAGAAAGTGAGAGGCCTCCAATTTTGTTGGTCTTCTTCAGCAGAGCTTTGCTTATCTGAGGTCTCTTTCCTTTCCATACAGAGTTAGTGATCAGTTTTTCCATCTCTTTAAAGAATGACAGAATCTGGATTGGGATTGCATTATATCTATAGATTGTTTTGGATTAAATGCAGTATTTTAGAATTGAAACGTCTAAGGGCAACTTTTTCCTCTGTAAAGAGAATAGTATTGCCTTTGTTGCAAAATAAAGTCTCTCATGCAACACCTTTTTTGAGCACTTTAATGCTTTTCTTCTTTCCTCATCCATTCTGTGAGGGAAGATGAGTGGGCTCTGTCAAATTGGAATTTATGAGCCATTAGGAGTGTTTACAATTAGTTCTCCTTGATGAATAGTCCTGTTTTTTGGCTCATTAAAAATTTTTAATTGCAGAAGTAACATTATTTTACATTATAGAAGATTTAGAAACAGAACTAACAAAAAGATCCTCTGTAATCCTACCCAAACTTAAGGCGAGAAACTTAACATCTGGGGGATTTGCTACTGAGAACCTGGAATTCTAAATCTGGGTCTCAGTTTTGGTGGCTATGGCCCTTCTCAGTGAGGGAAGACCACCTGGCAGCCTCTATCTGCTGGTTTTCTCCATTTGCCACTCATAAGTGTCTGAAGTATCAGCATGCACTTTTTGCTATTATTTTTTTGTTAATTTGGATGACTTAGTTGCCAAACATCACTGCCTCAGTTTTTAATTTATAGCTTTCCAGTTGCTAGTTTGAAAAATTGTCCATGTTTGATTGATTTTCTTTCTGTTTTGAATAATCGGCTTATATTTTGCCCTGGTTTTCTTATTGGGGGTATTTATAATTTTCTTACCACTTTTTACAATTCCCCAATATTCAAACATACAGAAAAGTTGAAAGAATAGTATGATAACCTTAATATCCTCTTAATGTAGATTTATCAATTATTAACATTTTGCCATAAAAATATAAATAAAA